AGGTGTTGATTTAGAAAAACAAAAACAAAATACCTCTCTTTTTTTTTTTGATGGAGTGCTGAGAATTGATATTAGTTATTTGCGCTTTATTCTACAGAAACCCCCTAACAATGTGTTTATCATAACATAAACCTATTGCCATAGAAATGATCTTGGAGAACACAAATTCAGCATTGCTGACTTTATGGAGAGATCATGTAAGAGGAGAAGCTGAGCTAAGAAATGAAGAAAACTATCAAAATAGGAATGAGATCATTGTCACCTTCGAGAGGAAGGACAACTATGAAATAATTACTATAAGGAACTCAATGAAGTTGCTAAAAAGACTATATATGGTCAGTGTAGGACAAAGCACCTCCAGCAAAATTCAGTGCCATTCAGAATTGCAATTGATTAAATGATTTAATTTGGAAAGGGGCAGAATTTCCCTCTAGTCTCTCTTTTGAAAAAGGGAAGGAAGCATGCTTTAATCGACCTTGTAGGAGGAGGTTTTCAGACAAAGGTTTCCTTGTTACCAGGTGATTTCTCTGGATCATATAAGTTCATCAAAACAATAAAATAAGAGTGATCATTCCTTGCAATAAATTTGGGCTTCCCCCCTCCCAGTTATAGTTCATCGAAACAGTAAAATAAGAGTGATCATTTCTTGCAATAAATTTGAACTTTTTACCCCCACCAAAAGACCTGAATTGGTTTTTTTTATAACTTGTTTTTTGTTTATTTTCTTTTTAATAATAGAAGAAAGTGAACCCGAGCAAGATACTAAAGGTATTTGTTCTTTCTACCCTACGTTTTGTTTAATTCATAATCCTTCTGAATTATTTTGCATCTGCTGTTCTGATGAACCACTCTGAGAGGCATATTTTGATAGGAAACTTCTTCCTGAGGGGCATTTCCTTTGTTCCTGGCACTAAACACTTTACTGTTTATGGGAAAATATAGAGTGCCAATGATTTAATATGGTCTTATCCGATTGCTTGCTTGATGAAATAATTTGCTACTTGGAAGTTAAAAGTTCTCAAGAAAAAGCCAGGTCAGCAGAAATACTGTTTGGTGCCAGGAACTCTGGAAATGCAAGGTAATGTAAAAATTGAATCAGTATGTGCGCATAAAGCCCACACAAGTTGGAAGGGAAGTTTCAAGTTTGGCTAAAGGTACTTGGTAGTCTAACTTCCCTGGGGAGAAATATTAGATGGTAATTCCCAACACTGGTTTTGAAACATCTAGAGTGTCTTTAATTATTTCAAGAGAGCTTCTCATGAAATTCTTAAAGACTAAGTAAATCCTCAAATATTCATTTTAATTATTGTTACAAAATTAAACACAGGGCAAACCAACTTCATGGTGCCATAAGATTTATATGTACACATACATGTATGGGTTGAGAATAACTGCTTCAGAATGACAGTTGTCCTGGACAGTCACCTTGCAAAGAATGAGCTGGAACTGTTTTTTACTCAGCTTTCACTTGAGTCAGACAGAAATATGGAAACAAGTTTCATATGCATTAATTATGTAACTTTTGCTGCTTGAAATTATATTCATTAAGGGTCTCTCCTGCAGTTTCATATGATGTGAGAAAAGCAGAAAAGGAGGGATGGACAACTTAAAAACTAATATTTCATTATCACTGTAACACCAAAGTCAAAAGTTCCAGGGTTGTAGTCTCATGTGTATGTTCTTAGAGTTATGCATTATGGGAAATCATTTACAACTTTGCCCATTGAATACCACATAGATTTAAATGGAGTCATTTTTGAAAGGTCTAAATTTGAATCTTTTGAATGATTGTTAGTACTGAATTATCTAATTATGACTTGAGATATGGGGTAAGGGAATGGAAATGAGAAATTGAGAAAGAAAAATCTCAAAATTTACATAGAAAATAGGGACTATCAGACCTGAAATAGACCATAGAAATACTCTACTCCAACTCCCTCATTTTACAGATGAGAAAAAACCAAGAGAAAGTTTAATTCACATGAACTTTGTTTTTCTATTCGGAAAAAAAATACATTACTAAATTATTGCTCAGGGAAAAATTTGGCTTTCTACTTCCACCCCTCAATCAAGCCACAGTTACTCTATAAATGAGGTGCACAAAGTTAACAGGATACTAAACAATCCTGAGATGTTAGCTGCTCAAGCATTGTTTTGCATTTCGTGTATGCAAACTACCACTGGAAGCCTGAGCCTACTGACTCTCAAAAAAAAAAGACTGTTTCCAAACTACGAAGCCTAAAACTTACAAAGGGATTTTGTAAGGGAAAATGAAACAGCATTTCAAAGGACTATATCTCTATCTATCTATCTATAGCCTACATGTTGCTTCTTATAACCCAAACTCAAAGTCACTCATTTATCAGCTGAGAAGAACCATGGTATAATGAGTAGCTAAAATCTTTAACAAAACAAGGCTTGAGGGAAAATGTTACCATTTATGTTCTTTCCCTTTTTTTCTATATAATGGGGATAATAGTAACATCTACCTACCTTGCAGGATTGTTGGGAGGACCAAATGAAGTAATACTTGCAAAGAGCTTAGCTTAGTGCCTGGCACACAGTAAGTGAGATATAAATATTAGCTATTATTACCTATTTTCACTGGAATAGTGTATTTTTATCAAGATAAAGTCTATTGTTTACATACATGTAGCTATATAATTGGGATAGGAACTGGACTTATGATTTCATTTATATTGGAGGGAACACTCAGAGAAGAAATTCCCTCTAACAGTGGAGATTGGCACCTTCTTTATAATTTACTCAACATCACACAACCCATAGATGACAGAGGGGAAATTGAATCCATCTCTTTCTGACTTAGGAGCCAGCTCTCTGCTCATTATGACAACCTGTTGTTGCCACCTTACAGACATGTGTGTGTGTATAGAAACAGCAGATGATATATATAACAATAGATTTTAACATATAATGATAGTAATAATAATAATATTGGCTAACATTTACATAGCACCTACTACGTGCCAGGTACTGTGCTAAGTGCTTTACAATCATTATCTCATTCGATCCTCACAACAACTCTGGAAGGCAGGTGCTCTTATCCTAATTTTACAGATGAGGAAACTAAGGCAGCCTAAGGTTAAATGACTTGCCCCAAGGTCACATGGCTAAGAAGTGTTTTGAGGCTGGATTTGAACTCAGGTCTTGAGTTAAAATCACAAGCACTGTATATACCTAGTTGCTGAGAGAGAGAGAGAGAGAGAGAGGAAGGAGAGAAAGGGAGAGAGGGAAGAGAGAGAGAGAGAGAGTCTTTTACATATATATTCTTTTACAAATTATAGAGGTGATTTAGATATCACAGGAGCCATACTTATTGTTGTGTGGAGGTGACCTTACATTCTGAAAGACTATGCCAGGGGGAACATGATCTCTGGTAAGTTATACCAAGCTGGAAAGACTTTAGATACGGTAGCTAAGTACAGAGTAGCTAAGTAGTTACCAGAATATTGGCTGCTAGAGAATGAACTGTGTGGCTGTGATGACATAATGCAACCAATTTTTTTAAAAGTTGAAGTGGTCGTCAGTCCTATATCACTCTTTTCTGTATCTACTAATGATGATGACAAGGTAGTAGAAACTTGTGCAAATAATGCCCCCCGAAGAGTACAAATCAGTTTGAAAGTATTATGTCTTTTTTTTACCAGATGACACAATGGAGGAAATAGCTTATGACTGGCCAAAAGACTCAAACACAACCAATGGGCCAGTGTAAAAAAATGATAGTCCAGGGATGAGCTCAGTGCTACATTGATGAGTCCAAGTTTGGGAGCTAACAATTCCAGTTCAATGAGGAAGAACCACCCATGGGTGGAGAAAAGGATTTCTTTCTTCTATTCCCTTTCCACCAGTGACTATGTCATTGAAGAAACTGGAGCAGTATCAGAAAGTGCATCCAGTTATAATCAAAGAAACTAGACCAATAGGAGATAACATATCCACACAAGACAAGAGCCACACAGAAGTCAAATAGATGCAGAAACATAGTAATCTGAAGAGAGAGCTGCAGCTTTGAGAAGTATGACTGGAAAAGAATGTCAACTCTGAACTGAAGAAAGGACATCCAGGCCAGAAAATGCCAGGGGTTATGATAATCCTTTGCCACACATGAATCTTATATCAGTGCATCACAACCTAAATTTAATTCAACTTTGCACATGGATCGATATGTGTTTTGGGGACAATATATCCCAGGCTTTTGAGGGGACATGATTTGTCCCAACTCTTCCTGATATACCATCTTTGAAATACCTTTGGTAAAAGTTAATTAAGCTTTTAGCTTATTTACTTTTCCATACAGAAAGTACAAGAAGTAATAGCACTGGAAGTCGAGTTCCATATGGTCACTCTTACGATCCCAACAGCGTCATAGCAGCTACTTTCTAGAGACCTCAGATTGAGAATGGGAGTTTATGTTGGACTGGTGGCTCAGAGGAGGTACTGCCAAAACATTGGTGAATAGTTTAGACCATAAAAATAGCACTAAACTGGGAATCTAGTCCCAGCTGCACTATTAAGTAGTTCTATAACCTTGGGCAAGTCACTTCATCTCCATGGGCCTCAGTTTCTCCGTCTGTAAAATGCTAGGCAAGATGATCACTAAGGTCTCTTCCCAGCTCTACCAATTCTATCATTTGAAACTGATATATTACATACTGAATTTGAATCATACTGTTCAGTCAGAGGTAACATTACTACTGACATCATGAAAGAAATCTCCATGAAACCAAAAGGAGTTCAGCTGGAATGAAGAATAGGAGTTATTTTTTTCTTCTTTCCCCTGTCCTCAATTCTGGGTTGTTTGCATTTGTTCTTTCCTCAATAGTCATCATCTCGTTCTCTTGTTATCTTCCTTCCTGTTGTGACTTGTGGATATTGGGATTTTTTTTTTTAGAGGCATGCAGCTAATTCCTTGGAGATTTCTTTGATTGAAGATATACTTTCAGAATAGTCATGTGGCTTCTCTATCTCCTCAACAGTGTTTGCCAGAATTCTGCGGGCTCCCGAATCCCACAATGTCACCTTTGGCTCCATAGTGACCCTACGCTGTACTGCAACAGGCATTCCAGTTCCTACTATCACATGGCTTGAAAATGGAAATGCTGTGAGTGCCATTTCTATGTCTCCATGGCTAAGGAAGCTTGCCTACTGGCTTTCAGGATGCTTTGTGGGTTGGTAGCAATCATACAACATTCTGTGGTTATTCAAAGGCTAACATTCATTCTTTGATTCTTTGTCTTTACCAAGTTGTGAGTAGTCTATATCATTGAAATCATGGTTTGGCATAATATGTTAGGGGACTGATAGTGTTACAATAATAGTAGAAATAATAATAGCTATCCTTTATATAATGTTTCCAAGACCCAGCCACTGCTAAAGAAGATTGGAAGCCCTGGGTTCTCTTCTCTGCTACTGTTCTCTGTATTGCTTCTGGACAAGTTAAATTCTTATCTACCTGCCTCCTAGGGTTGTTGTGAGAATCAAATGAGATAATAATTGCAAAGTGCTTACCACAGTTCCTGGCACATAGTAAGTGCTATGTAAATGTTAACTATTATTATTACTTGTGTATTATACAATTTAATCCTTTAAAAAACTATTTGGTAGTGAAGAGAGTTATTATAATACCCATTTTACATTTGAGGAAACTGGAGCTCTTGGAGGTTAGGTCAGTAAGTCTGATTTTAAAGATCATGTCTTATTGTGGCATAGCTATCACTAGGACTTAGGTTTTCTACCTCCTAGTCTAGTATTTTTTTTTCTACTACAGAAGGCCATTTCTATCCTTATGGTCGTAAGATCACAGATTTCAAAGCTTGAAGAGATCTTAGCAGCCATCAAGTCAACCTCCTCATTTTACCGGTGAGGAAACTAAGGCATAAACTGGATAAGTGATTTGTTCAAGGTCATACAGTCAATTAAATGTCTGTGGTGGGTCTTGAACTCCGTTCTTCCTAATTCCAAGTCCAGACGTCTGAGGAGTGAAAAGAAACAGTGGATATGCTCAGATTTCCATTACAATTCAAGATGGAAACACAATGGATTAAGGGCCATGGTGAGCCCTAGCTACTGGTTCTGTATCATTCTTTCCATATTAAACTTGATTCTGCTTCTAAGCCCTTGGGGTTAAAAAAAAAAAAGTCCCTCCTCACAAAAAAAAAAAATGGCAGATTGACTATTTTGCCTTAATGTCTGATAGACCCATTACTAAAGTCACTATCATTCTCCCAACTTTATGTATTTTGCACATTTGATGAACCATCACGTCACTCTCTTTCTACCCCATATTTGGCCCACACAAAACATTTGGTCTGGACTACATATCTTATTAGCACTCCCTCCTCATTTTTTCACTGAAGGTGCTAGAAGTACCCATTACCTCAAAGTAGGCCAGACAGGAAGACAGAGCAAGAAGCAGGAATAGAAGCTGTTCTTGAAGGTTCCAAAATCAGCTTCATTACATTTATAAAGAGATTGTAAATCAAACTAAAGGAAAAATTTGGTCAAGTAGCTTGTAATAATGCAAATAGAGAAGGAGAAAGAAAGAAGTCATAATATCCCCTCAAAGTCATGCTTATGAAAACATGTTTAAATGTATAAAATGCAATATAAATGTCACTTGTTAATACTAATTACAAATATCAATTTTTATCTATGAACAAAGGAAAACTTTCATGTTTTAAGGTGAAAAAAGAAGTAAATTTCAGTTAAGTGAGTCAACTCATCCTTTAGGGATCAGGTTGCCTGGAGAAGAAGTAGAGCAAAGAACATATGGTATTGAACTTCAACTCAGGAAGATCTTTGTTCATATTCAGCCTCAGACACTTAGTGACTACGTAACCCTGGGAAGGTCATTTAGCCTATCTATGCCTCGGTTTCTTCATCTGTAAAACAAGGTGGTTGAATTTGATGGTCACTGGGGAACTTTAGATTCTAAATCTATGATCCTGCAATAATGGAACTAGTAACTTCTTGAGGTTCCTTCTAATTCTATAATATGAGATGATTACAAGCAATATAGAGTGGGGAGGGGTAAAGGGTGAGGGAGGGTAGAGTGGGAGAATAAGTACAGCTTATTGAAAAACTAAACAATTAGAAGAGGGAGTTTAAAGTTGGCATTCAAATGGAGATTAACATTTGAATCATGAGCTGTAGTAGTAACTGGTGGCCACAAGATGTCATTATTACAGACAGTACTTAAATGTTCATATTTCCAGATTAGAGCCAATATTACAGGCTGTTAGAACGGATCTTTATGAAGTGCTTCATACTGATGTTGAATTAGAAGGCTTGCATGGGACCTCAAGATTAATCATTCAGCTTTAAGACAAATTGCAGCTAAAACATCTCTTTCTCAAAATCTCTAGAGATTTCCTATGGAAATTTATTTCAGGATCTCGAAGTTCTTTCTATTATAAAGTTTTCTCTAATGTCCTATCTAAATCCTCTGACTTTTCCTATTCTTTTTATTTTGTACTCAGTGGGTAATCTTGGAATCATAGAATCTTTTTTTAAAAAAATTGTTTTTTGGAATCATAGAATCTTAAAGACAGAAGAGGCTTTAGAGATATTTAATCTAACCCTGTCCTTTCAGAGATTGGGAAACAGGCCCAGAGAACAATTTCATCACTGATTTGGATAAAGGCGTGGATGGTATGCTCATCAAATCTGCAAAAGACATAAAGCTGGGAAATATAGCTGACACATTGAATGACAATCACGATCCAAAAGGATCTTTAACAGAGTAGAGTATTGAGCTAAATCTAATAAAATTATATTCAAAAGGGATAAATGTAAAGTCTTACATTTGGGTACAAAAAAATTAACTTCATAAGTATAATGGGGTGAGGCATGGATAGATAGCAGCAGGTTATTTTTAAAAATCTAAGGGTTTAAAAAAATCTAGGGGTTTAGTGGACTGCATTAAGTTCAATATAAATAAGCAGTATTATGTGGCAGCAAGAACAAAAAAACAAAAAAACAAAAAACAAAAAAACAAAAAAAAATGACAACCTAATGCAATATGGGGCTGCATGAATAGGGGGCCAAGCTTTCAGCAGACTTCATCTGGAACATTAAGTTCATTCCTGTGTGCCATGGTTTAAGCAGGACATAGATAAGTTAAAAAGAGAAGGGTAACCAAATTGGTGAAGAGCCTTGAGGTCAGGAAAGAAGAGGATCTGTTGAAGAAACTGAGCAAGGTTGGCTGGGAGAAGAGAAAGCACAGGAAGAACATGATAACTATCTTCAAGAACTTGAAGAGCTGTAATGCAGAGGATGGATTACATTCTTTTTTCCTGTTTGGTCCTAGAGAAAAGAACTGGAAGAAATGGGTGGAAGTAACAAAGAAGCTAATTTAAACTGATGTCAGGAAAATTTGAGAACAATTTTAGCTGTCCAAGAGTAGAATGGGCTGCTTAGATGAGGTAGATTTCCCCTTGGAGATCTATAAGCAGAGTCTAAATGACCACTTGATGTATATTTTATTATGAGGTTTCCTTTCATGGTTGGATTGAACTAGATGGCAAATGAGGTCCTTTCCCCCTCTCAAATCATGTGATTCTATGAATAACAGTAATTTACAACCATCCACACCTTGAGCCTACCCTGGACACAATCGTGAAGTAAAAAACATTTATTTTCAGAAACCCTGTGTCCTCGTGCTTTGAGGGTCCATGTTGTTTCAGACTCTTCATGACCACATTTGGGATTTTTTTGGCAAAGATATTAAAGAGGTTTGCCATTTCCTTCTCCAGATCATTTTACAGATGAGGAAACTGAGGCAAACAGAGTGAAGTGACTTACCCAGGGTCACTTAGTTAGTACATATCTGAGGTCAAATCTGAACTCAAGTCTCCCTAACTCCAGGCTCTGTGCTCTAGTTGCTGTGCCACCTAGCTGCCTAATAGATTTAAAGCTGGAAGGAACCGTCATTTAGTCTAACCCCTCTCCCCCTTTTTTTATTTAAAGGTGAGGTAAATCAAAGCTAGAGATGTTTAGTGACTTTCTCATGGTCATAAAGGTAGCTGATAGTAGAGTAGGGATTCAAATACAGGCCCTCTTAATTCAAAGCTGGAGCTCTTTTCACTATCCAGGACATATCTCTACCTATGATGATCTACATACTCTTGTCCTCCCTGGGCCCTGGCTCATGCTCCAGGCCTTTTAAAATTCTACCTCCATGTCAAAATTAACCTGTGTCCTTTTCTCTCAATGTCCCACTTTTCATTTATTACATTTCAAGGTGTTGGCCAAACTGAAAACTAATTCATGCTAAAGTGTCAATGGGGGAATGTGTCCTGATCCCTTCTCTTTCTAAGTAATGCATTTTAAGAGTAGGCTATCTACAACTGATGCCTCCACTTCTTTTCCACTAAGTCTTTTCTTCGCTCTCTGCAGTCTGGCTTTCAACCTTATTATTCAACTGAAACCGTCTTCTCCAAAGTGACCTATTATTTCTGGGTTGCCAAATCCAATGACCTTTTCTCAATCCTCATCATTCTTGACCTCTCTGAAGCCTTTACACTGTTGATCACCCTCTTCTCCTTGATACTCTCTTCTTTCTAGGTTTTTGTGACACTGCTCTCTCCTGATTCTCTTCCTCCATCTCGGAATGTTCCTTCTCTGCGTCCTTCACTGGTTCTTCATCCAGATCACTCCCATTAACCACTGGTATAGCACAGGGCTCTGCCCTAGCCTTTCTTCTCTTTTTCCTATATACTATTTGTTTGGTATATTCATCAGAAAGAGTAGGTTTGTGCAAGGGTAGCAGAAAAATTGGGGATTGGAAGAAGGTCATATTCGAGAAATGAAAAAGCAAAGTAGAGCTATTATTGAAATGATGTGACCAGAAGTCCTTCATTAGAAAGGGCCGTTCCAGAATTTGATTTCCTGTCCTGGCAGGAAAAAACATCTCAGAAAGTACTGCATTGACATTTTTTGTTAACCCATGGGCCTTTCTCCATTCCAAATGAATTCAGCTGTCATCTCTATGCAGATGACTCTCAGATCTTCTTGTCCAGCTTAAGCTCTCTCTCAGCCTCCAGTCTCACATCTCCAACTACCCTTGGACATTGTGAACTAGACATATTATAGACATCTTAA